AAACATCTCTCGGAATTCTTACAGCTATATGACATCTGCATTGTTTGTAGAGTTCACATATGACTTTCTGAACAGGGATTTAACCTGAGAAATCTATCTTGTTTCAGTTTTGTTTGTGTGTGCAAGTCCTGATATTGCAACTTTTGTGGTTGAGTTACTCTCAGATGTGAAATTATTCTGCAGATGTCAGTGTTTGAGTTAAAAATATTTTCTGTTAAAAGTGTGTTATATTCCACCAAACAGTGATGTGTCTGTGATAAGCTCTTCTGGCAAACCTGTTTGCTACAGGATCTGTAAAGTGAGTGCAAAAGAGGAAGAAAGGCAGGCAAAACATGTCTGAGATTTTTTTTCATGCATCAGTAGGAATTATTTTATATAGTATCCTAGCTTTAAATTCACTACAGTTTATTTAAATAAGGTGGTATGCAAAGTAATGATGGATATTTTACTGAGTAGCTCTATCACAAAGATGTTTTTAAAATGGTGAGAAGAAATTAGAAATCTTTTTTTGGAAATGGAATATAAATTACTGCAAATGTGATGCACTGTGATCATGCAGTCTATTTCAGTCAGGTCAGTGCCGCAGTTAGTCTCTGGTTCCGGTGAGCCCAAAATTATAAAATGAAATGAAACACATCTGAAAAATGCATCCTCTCACTAATGTTATAAAGTATAACAACATGTATATATCAGGCAGTGCCAGAGGTGATACCTTCAGCTGCATGGTTAGCAACTTTTCTGTCTTTGATGGAAAACTGATGCAGTTCACTATTTTTTTTAATCATTATTTCACATTTTTCTGATGCTGCTTACAGTACAGTTTCATCTGGAAAATATATTGCATATCCACATCCTCTTCCATACTCATGCTGATATTTTTAATGTGTGACTAAAGGTCAGGTATTCTCAGTGGAGGCCAGGTTGTTGCCTCACATTCTGGAAAAAGTCTATGCCAAATCCTATGGTGTGGACACTCACCAAGAAGACACTCCCTAGTTGCTCATATTAAATGCGGACACTGTAATGGAAGGACCAGAAAAGCGGCACCTTTTGACTGGAGCCATGCGGAGTATGGGCAGTGCGGCAGGCAGGGAGACAAGCCGACCTCTAATGGGTGGGCTTTCCGAAGTTCAGGTTGGTGGTGGATGCCAGTACCATGCATTTCCTTTCCTTGTATCTGAAAGTCTTCCCTGCTTCAGTCCTGACTCAGCTCCCCTAGCCTAGACTCTTGCCCCCACCTCAGACTGGGCATGGTTCGCCATAGGGTATCCAAAGAGGGTGGTGTTGTGTTTGAGATAAGTGACTTTGTTGCCAGCTGGTAGGACTGAAGACGGGGATCACTTGGTTTTATTCTCTACCAGAGCCTTAGTTACCTTTGAGGAATCTCTGTCTTGGTGCTTTTATTTGATGGGAGGGAGGTGACACTGCTTACCTCCCAGCGATGCAGTGAGACTAAATGTGCTGTCTGTAACGCTCTTGAGGTCAGGCGCATAAATGTGTATCTAATGCTGGCAGAGCCAGGGGTTTTCTGTGAATATCTGACAACAAACAATGATTCTACCACCCATGAAATACTGGAGCCACTCACAAATATACACCTTCAGGCTTTCCCTGTGGGAAGCAAAACTTGGGTTCTTTACCATCAGGTGTTCATGCTTTTCATGAACCTGAACATGAATCCTGCCTTTACTTTCTGCTAGATGCTTCCCAAAAGTTTTTAAGTAACTGAGATCCCTATGTTACCGCATGCTACTTGTTTCTTTTATTATTTTTTTATGAATAGGACACTTTATTTGAATCAATAAAATAGGCATCCACTACTATACAAGAAATCTCCACAGCAGTTCCTGGAATACAGAGAAATTAAATATGCTTCTTGTAAATCTCTCCTCCAAATTATAAATTAAATAAATAAGAAAACCACAAATACACATTTCAAAATACAAGAATTATTAGGTAGAAACATTAATCATCTTCTCTTTGCCTCCATCCTCGTACTGCTTAAAGCTATTAATTAACAAACGAAATACTACAATACAGTTTTCTCAACAGACAAAACTCTTGCTGCCCTGGACTGTGTGTTGTGTGTTCTACGGGTCACATTATCTACAAGGGCAGGTACCACAAATGCTCACTGTCTTAATTACCCCAAATTCAGCAAATGGACTTTTTCCAGTGTCTGTTCCATCTTTATTTTTGCTTTGCTAAGGGAGTGAGACCAAAAAAAGGGAACAATCGAGTGAATATGAGCCAGCAGTGTGCCCAGGTGGCCAAGAAGGCCAATGGCATCCTGGCTTGTATTAGAAATTTTGTGACCAGCAGAAGAAGGGAGGTGATTGTCCCTCCGTACTCAGCATTGGTGAGGCCGAACCTTGAGTATTGTGTTCAGTTTTGATCACCTCAGTACAAGAGAGATATCGAGATGTTGGAGTGAGTGCAGAGGAGGGCAACAAAGCTGGTGAAGGGCCTGGAGAACAGACCTTATGAGGAGCGATTGAGGGAGCTGGGTCTGTTCAGTTTGACAAAGAGGAGGCTGAGGGAGGATCTCATCATGCTCTACAATTACTTGAAAGGACACTGTAGAGAGGTTGGTGCTGGTCTCTTCTCACAGGTAATTAGGGACAGAACCAGGGGGAATGGTTTCAAGCTGCAACAGGGCAAGTTTAGGCTGGACATTAGGAAGAAATTCTTCACGGAAAGAGCGGTCAGACACTGGAACAGACTGCCTAGGGAGGTGGTTGAGTCGCCATCCCTGGATGTGTTCAAGTGTCGTTTAGATGGGGTGTTGGATGATACGGTTTAGGGGTGACCTTGTAGTGTAGGGTTAATGGTTGGACTTGATGATCCCAAGGGTCTTTTCCAACCTGAATTGTTCTATGATTCTATGATTCTCTTCTCCCTATTCCTTGAGTGTATACATTGCTGTGCAAGAAAGTAGTCCCACTGAATTTACTAGGTTTACCTATACACATAAAACCAGCACGTGCCCACAAGGCCAAGGCTTCTGGAAGGATTTCTATAGGCTGGGAAGGGGGTGTAGTGCGGTTGCTGATATATATAAAAGATATCTTGTGAAGATCTTGGCCATGACTCCAGTTTGGCTCAGACATGGAGGATCTCATGTTGACAGTGTCATGGTGTCTGGACTGTTACACAGGGGCAATGTGTCATGGTCTAATTTAAAGGTGAGGTGGACTCCTGTGAGAAAATTGCTCTGGTGCTGTTCAGGCAGGCAAGCCTTCAGCAAGCATGGGCATTGCTCTCACATGCTGTGGCTGGAGACACATGGTCAGTGCCAAACCACCATCGCATTTTCTACTTGCCTTGCCAGCAGTCAGAACTTTTCAGTTCGTGGTTCACAAGGAGCTGTGTTCTCCTTCTTTTCCAGAATGAAGGAAGAAAAGCAGGAGAATAAATCATACCTCTGTCAGGCTGCTGGAACCAGAGAAGGACTTTTGCCTTTGGTAAGGAGGACAGAGAGTGTGTGTGGTTTTGAGCAAGGCTGCTCTCTGTGAGTTGGTAAGCACTTCTGAAGGAGAAGTCTGTGACTGCAGCAGTGGTGGACAGCACAATGTGAAGGCTGACAGAGGTATTTCATGAGGGGCTTTCCTTGACTGACTCTGAACTGAGTTGTCTCTTGATTTATGAAAAGCCATAGTACCTTTTACAATAAGAACTTCCTTCCCATCCTACTGCCTTCTCCAGCACATTCAGCCCCATGTAGTTGTCCTTTGCAGACCTCCTTGGATCCACCTGGGACACTTGCTGTGTAAAGCTACTGGGCTTCTTCCACTGCTTTTCCATCCCACGGACTTTGGTTTCTGGCTGAAGGCAAGCAAGATTCAGCTGGGAGCTTCTTTCCTCTGCCATAGGGTAAGACCTTCGTTTTTCATTTATGCTTTGGAGCACTGGCAGTTAGAGAAGATGATCATTACTATGAGCAACAGGCGATATGCTTTCTCCAGTTTTAGATTTGTTCTGTATTTAGGCAAACCAAAGCTTTTGATAACCTGGGTAGCATATGAGTCAAGTATGGTTTATGACCAAGTACGATTCAATACAGTATTATCTGTAACAGAAGTGAAGCATTTTGTAAAATTATTTTCAGAGGAAAACCCAAGGGGCCATGATTGGCAATTTCTAAATTGAAAAAGTATTGAGAGAAAATATGTATCCCATGGTTAGTCACCTAGTTGAACCATTTACATGCTTTATTTCCTCCTAGTGTTTTGTGCACTTTAGTGAAATATCCTTGAGTAAAGAGTAAGTTGCTGACTGTCAATTAACATTTAAGCAGGTTCTATGGAAGAATGTATCTCTTGAGGTTACCCAGTTGCTCATAGTTTGATCTGGCAGCACATATTGAAACACCAAGCGCTTGTAACGTAGCAAAGTTTGGTGGTACGTATGGGTTTGCAAACTTGCCCAGTTCCGACCAGTTCTTTTGAAGTTATTGCATGCTTTACTCTTGTCTCAAACATCAAACCTGAACAAAAAAAGATGCTTAGCCTATGTCGTTCAACTAAGCATGTAATAAGATGTGTTTTTTATCTGATGATATGAGAGAGGAAGGGGGCAAACAGTGGTACACAACAAGTAGACCCCTGGGATTTAATGGCACTCTATAATCGATCGGTTACCTTGCAGGAATATACAAAACTCTTGGCAGGCTTTTCCTGTTGAAAGTCCAAGCTGATTCAGACAGGACATGTAAAATGCTGAATGGGCCAGCACTAGTTTCAGCCTCATTGACTCAAAATGTAAATCTAGTGGGATATGCAGAATTTTAGTATATCGCAACAAAGAAAGGCCAGTGAGTTGCACCACGTTCAACATCTTCTTCTTAGCCTTTCTCCCACCGCTCTGAGGCAGTGGCATCAAGTAATCAAAAGAAAATTGTTTTCCTGGATGAGCTGTGCTACCTCTGTTCCCTCATCAATCCTAGAGCACCTTGTCCTGACTAAAGGACCTTCGGCCTTCCCAAATGATGCTGAGCCTTATCAGTCCGCCTCAAAGGCACTGTTTGTTGCCCCTACGTACTCTGACTTCTTCTTGTGCTTCATCCACATCTTCCTCAGGAGGCTGGGCGTACCACAGAGGTTGCCTCCCGTCAGTGGTAGGGAAGCTTCTGCTCCTGGTGGCAGGGTCAGGTCGTACTCTGCTGACTTCCTCCAGCGCTGCCTGTGGCTAGCAAATAAAGCACAGATGCGTAAAGCTTTCATTTCCGCATCTTCCCCACTTATGATGACTGGCCACTGAAAACCAAAGGCTGCCTGGTTGTGAAGCTATGTCCATGCCTCACCTGTCCCTGGGACTGACAAGTCTGAGATGAGGAGGGGCTGTGTGGTGCGGTGGGCTTGGATGCCCCCAGTCTGCTTGGTGTCCCTTGTTCCCTCGCTATCAGAGTGAACACTCACATAAGTGGATGGGCTAGAAGTGGGACCACTGCTAAGTGTATCTTCACTGGTATTTGCCACCAAAGAAAAAGCTGGCAGGTGGCCTGGGGACAGGGCTGGGACCTTCCACCAAAGCCACGGGGAAGATACAGCAACAGCCAGGCAGGGTGAGCTCCACATGGCCAAGGGGACTGAGCTGGCTTACACCAGCTAAGGGGGATTTATGTCTCTGTTTGCAGAGTGATAGGACACTGTGACAATGAGCTTGTTACCGTCCGTCAGGTGGCAATAGCGGTATTTTAAATATATCCCTAATCTGGGTTACCTGTCTACTGATGAGTGCATTTGTATTATGGTCAAGCTTTTCCTTAATTACACTTAAAGGCAATAAAGCTTTGTTTAAAAAAATACTTAATTACATTTTCTAATCTGCCTTAGGGCAAATATTACAGGCTTCTTAAGGGGAAAAAACTTAAATTTTGAATTTAGATGCTTTTCTTTCTAATGATAAAACAGAGCTGTAACTGGCAGCGTGACAGCTGTATAAATGGCAATGGCTGATGACTTTACCGGCATGTCCTTCAGCCGATCTCTCCCTGCCTTTGCAAAGCAAGTTGCGTAGCTTTACACAGAATCATCACAGAACAGTAGGGGTTGGAAGGAACCTCTGAAGATGATCTAGTCCACCCTCCTGCTAGAGCAAGATCACCTAGACTAGATCACAGGAACATGTTCATTTACTGTAAATCACCAGGGCTTTACAGCTGTGACTCAGAGGAGATCTACAGCTGAGCACTTCTGTGTTTCTGGGGAGATGGTGTCTTGCAGTGGGGGTGCCCCATCCCTTTCCCTGCCTGGCAGCACCCCATATGCAGACCCCCTCAATTTGGCCAGAAAGGCGAGAAAGCACTTACTTTTCCATAGGAGTGCTGTCGCCTGCAGGTGAGTCTGTGACAGTCACTGCTTTTGCTGTGATATGGGCAACTGGCGATGATGGGAACTGTGGTGAGAAAAAACCCCACATCATTAGAGAATACCACTGATGAGTAGGGACCTCAGGTTCATCTGAGGAAAAAGGCTCTTTTAGGAGAATGAATAAGTACTGTAAATCTCTTAAAGGCAGAAAGCAGGCTGGCTAAGGCCTTTGCCCAACACTTACATAAATACTGATCGCTCACATGAACAGTCTCGCCGAGTTCAGCACAGTGCTTGTACAAACACCTCCCATCAAAGGAAGGAGACTTGCAGATATTTTTATTCCCTAGTTTTTATCTCTAGCTTCCTGAGAAGACGAGACTTTGTGCCGACTGAGCAGTCTGCCTCTCACAGCTCTCTGCAGGCCACCTCTACCGCGGGCCAGGAAGCAGCTGTCCCAGCCATTGCCCTTTCTGCAGCATTCAGAAATGTTTTCCAGTTTTACTGGGTGCTGCTCTTTGGAGGGGCCGTGGTTCATGCCGCAGTTCTGCCATGGTCCCACAAGTGGCTGATCACTGACTTCCTCCTTGTCTTATTTGATCAGAAATTGCCCGTCAGAACTGAGTCACATTTTCCCATGAACAGGCCACTGAGACTGGTGTATCCTCCAGGATGATAAGCTAAAATGTGGGCTGCCCAGAAACAAAATAGTCATCATAAAATTGTGATGTTCTCTTGTCATTTTGGGCAATAAACACACTTAATGATTTTACTGGCAATACCAGAAAAATTCTTCATATTATTATTACTACTATAACTGGTCTTGAGCTGTCAGGTGCTATTTCCCCTGGGATTAATCTGAGTGGATATGTTCAGGTGTGAACCCTTTGAATCCTTTGAAATTTAACCAGATTAATTATTGGTAGGTGCAGTTAATTTCATTATACTGAACACCATTAATTTTGACCATCATTCAATACCATACAGTCATTTTTCTCGAGTGTAGCCCAGATATCAGCTAGAAAGTATATTGTAGCCATCCAGAAGAGCATTTGAAGCTATGAAGTTTCTATAACATGGTCTCATGTTGATCAGAAACTTTTGAAAGGACTATTTTCAGTTTAAAAGTCTGTTTTTTATAAAAGGTAGGGACTTTGGAAATTGTTTTTTGATACAAAAAAGAAGAGAGGGAAAATGTTTTAGTAAAGCTAAGTCATTTTTTTAACCAAAACATTTTGGCTGTCCATTACAGAACACATTTCTGGGTTTTTTATGACAATTTTCCCATCAACTCTTTATTGCCATTTTTGATTGACCTGATTATCATGTCAAGAGAACATGAATTATCTGATGCTTGTTTCACTTTAGAAGTTAATTTTATTCACAATTTGTGAAGTTCCCTGAGAAACAAGTGGCTAACTCCTTCTAGCTTTTGCAGGGGGCTGAGCATCCAGAACGAGAGCCTGTCTGCTTCCACTCCACAACCCTTCCTGATTCCCTGCGGGGCAGCTGTCCTGTGCCAGTCTCTGCTCCCAGCTAATCATCCTCTGGCATGAATCATGTCTCAAAGCCTTAACAAAGACTGTGAAGCCTGCATGTGGTGCAGCGGACTGATAGGCTGTTATTGTGGGACATGCTTACAAGTACTATATTTTAAGATGCATCAGAGAGTGGTAGCTGCTCTTGCTGTATTTACTTACCCAAGATTTTCCATCGAGCAAGTGATTACAGGGCTTGGGTGACCCTCGTTCAGTTATTCCCACTGCAAAGCACAACAAAGAAGGCATTATTGGTAATTATCCCGTTAGAACAGTTTGTGTTGAAAGCCTCCTTCCATGAGGTTAAACCTGGACATGAACAGAGCCCAGATTCAGCTTATAGTCCCACTAGATTTGATTATAGCCAAAAGTAACAAAGTTTCTTTATTATGATCCTTTACTGTGATGTCAAGATAAAAGATTTTGGAATTGCTTAAGACATTATGGGAAATCACTCAGCTGCTTGCTCTGAGGCTTTTCAAATGAAATGATAACTGTCCTTAGCAGACCAAGTTGAGTGGGAGCCCTTCCCACTGTGAACACTCATGTGTACGTGTATACAAAGAGCAGTCCCACCTGCTGCACTTCAGCAAAGGTTGCGTAATTCAATTTTTGTGCATCTTGGAGACCCCACTGCCACTTTGTCCTGCCTGGGAGGTAATTGTCCTTCTCGGATTACCCTAGAGAGTTATTCTTACCTGGACAATGATGTGTGCTACATCCACCCCATTACAGGGAGAGATTTTAACCTTTTTCCCTGCCCATGGCTGAGTGGCACCTTTAGCTCCTGTCCTCAAACTTGGAGGTTATCTTTCAGTTACAAGAGAGCACTCAACCGGTAACTCATCCATGGGGAAATTTTTTCCTGCTGGTTGTGCTAAGGAAAGAAAATGAGGAAGGGATTCCTGATTTTTTCTCATGGAGCCAAATCCCCCCATTTGGCTGTGGGAACATGCATCTCTTTTTTTTTTATTATTTATTTTTTTTTCTTTCTATTTTTGGCCATTTTCAGTCTTCTACTGTTTTTCAAAACGATATTCAGGTAAGTGAGGAGTGAGGATGTACAGAAGTACCCAAAGTGCTTCTCATAGCGCTGTTTCCAACATGAGTTAGCAATCAGAACTGTCTTTTCCTTCTGGGGGCAATATCTGACTATGACAAATACCTTAACTGGCCTCTCTCTTCCTGCTCCCTGCCCTCCACGCCAGTAATTCCATTAGCTACCTAACTGTATCCTTCACGTCACAGTCTAATTCAATTACCTCCTCTCATCTTGTATATTAGGTACTAACAGTATTCAGCAAGTGGCTCCAGGCACCAGCGCTTCAGCCTAATGCCCGTATTTTTCTTTTTTTCTTTTATTTATTTATTTATTTCACTTTATTTGCTCTTACACTGGATTTTTTCCCTTTGGTCTGTCCATCTTCTTATTAGATATAGAAGATATTCTGGCAAAATTTTAGCAAAATACTTAAGCAAAAGTAAGTCCTCATGACTTCAGGTTCATAAGTACTCTTCAGGACAGTGGTAGTTAGGTGTGGTGTGACCTCCACTTGTCCAGGCCTGGGACAAAGGTTCCACATTATTCTGAATTGCCCTGTGCTTCCAAGATGAGTACTTGTACAAAAACTTGGTAAAAACCTGAATATTTCTTTCCTGGAGAGTAAGTAATTTTTTTTTCTCTTTTATCTATCCAATCTGTGAAGCAAAGCACAGCTTTGAGTCCAGATGGGAGTTTCTTGTTCTGACTTTCCACTACACTTACTTGCCTTCCTGCATGCTGGAATGCACTGTCCTTATACTTTGACATTTATGAGGGATTTGCAATGTTAGTAACATGTTGATGCTCTCATCTATGCTCTTCTTTATGCATTTTTCACTTCTGGAAGTTGGGCTGTTCACTCTATGACCCAGATTTCAAGTTGTGCTTTACCAAATCCGGAGTCTCTAATATTCAACAGTACTTGTCTATGGAGCAAGCATGGAAAACTCTACAGACACAACTATCCAGTAACAAAGTTGAATAATATTTCTGAAGGATGAAATATATGTGGAGGTCATGTCTGTACAGAGATGAATGAAAACAGATGATACATATCCATACATGTACCTCACTTCATATCACATTAAGCTGGTTCTCCAGCTGTCAAGAAACAGCTGGAGAAAGCTTTCTGAACTCCCTCATGGCACCCTATTCTCAGTGTAAGTATTGTTAGTACAGTGCATACTGAAACTGGACAATGCAGCACAACACAGCAAAGAGCTATTTTTATTTTCCTACAAATTTTTGCAAACACTTCTATTTCCCTCTTAAAATGCTATATCTGTAAAGTCAGGCACTCAGAAGTTATGAAATACCAGAGTTGAACCAAAGTTATTTCACATCCCGACAAAGATCTAGACATTGAAATCAGTCTCTAATATGTGACCAGAAACCATTTTTCCACAAACTTTCTGCTTCACTCATGCACAGTGTTCACTCAGCAAGCAGTTGTTCATCCTTAGCTGTCATTTCTCAGTGCACAGTTCTATACTTTCTTTACCCACCAGTGTATCCTCTGAGGACAGAACTACCAATATTTTCGTGGACTCTTCTGTATTGCTGATCACTGTGGTCATCATCTGCATAACTGTTTTAAGAAAAACACCCAGCTTCATCATCTCCTGGAGGACAAGTCGTCATGGCAGGAAAACAGAGGTAGATATTGAGATACTGAGTTTAAGGTGGATCAGGCTTGGTGGACCTGGCATTGCTGGGTTAATGGTTGGGCTTGATCTTAAAGGTCTTTTCTGACCTAAATGATTCTCCGATTCTGTGACCCTAAGATCAGAAGTTCCTGAGATCTACTTTTTCAGATGCCTGAGGAGGAGGCAGCACTGGTCTTAGTCAAAGCACAGTTTTGAGTGCAGCAGGAACTGAGTGCTCCTGGGCATTGCAGCTGGAGATGTGAAGCAGGCACCCAGAAAATGAGGATACCTTGGCTGTGCGAGGTGACGAGCATCCCTGAGGAGTCTGGTGGCAGTGGTGGACAGACCTTTAGGAGATGCTCTGCCATGGACCCTGAGCACTTTCTGTGCTGGTGGGAACCAAGATCCAGCTGCCAGCCTCACCACACTGCACAAGCTTAGGCAGCCCTGCAGTAGCTCTCTTGTCTCATTCAGATGCTCCTGGTGAGTTTTCTTGGCCTGTTCTCCTCACTCCCTCCTTCCCACTCCTCAGTCAGTCCTTTCTATTTTATTTTTTGTCCTAATTTAAACGTAGTTTCTCCTTCCTTCCCATTCAGCATCCCAGTTTCTCCACCTAATCACTTCCCTTTCTCCCTCTACAAGGACTGTTTTCCCCTTTTCTACTCTTCTTTTTGGATACCTACATCTTTTCCCCTGTTTGCACCTATCTGACATCCTTTACCTCTTGTTACCCTCAACAGCAGAGACCAGCAGCCCCTCCTTTGTCCTCCTCTCCCCTCTCCAACATCCACCACCCACAGCCGGTCGCAGTCACCCCTCTCCAGCCGTGAAGGCCTAGCTCTTTGTTCTGCCATTTCTTGGCTCCGGTCTGAGTTTGAGATCTTTCTCTACAGTTCCAAGCTCGGTTTCTTCCTTCCCCTTTTCCCAGGCCCTTCTCTTGTCTGGTCTGTGTTCCTAATGGGGTGGTTTATGAGCAGAGCAGTTGCAGACTGATGGTGTGAAGAACATTCATCATCATGGTAGTGTCTGCTTTAGAGGTTTAGCACCATTTAACAGCTAAAACTCCAACATCACTGCTAAACATGTGCCAATGTGATTTTTTCAAAGTCTCATGACTTGACTGCAGCTGGTTGTTTTTTCAAGGAACAGCAAAAGATGCATTTTTTATTAAAAGGCTACCCCTCTCCAAACTGCATGGCCCTGCTCTAAATTTGACCTTCCAAACATAATACACCAGCACTGAAGGAGCTGAATGACCACTCTATTTATGTTTACTCATTTCCTTGGTTTTGCACTGGCAAACTCTATTTTTCCTCCATAAGTTCTCAGGAATATGCTGAATAAGTTTTGGTTGAAAAATACAAAATCAGATCTGTGGCTGACATCCAGAGTCTAAAATTTCATGCCAAGTTATTATGTTCTGGCAAATTCTAAGCAGCTGAACAGGGATCTTATATAATAAGATGACTCAGGACAACTCAGTAATTCGCAATCTACCATCTCTAAAATATTGTCACCCTTTGGAAAGGGAGTATTTATGACTCTGAATAAAGTGAATTTATGACTCTGAATAAAGCAAGAGCTGTGCAATGCCGTGGCCATTATCTCATTAATTCCACCAGACATTTTAAGCCTGTCGGTATCCTTCAGGTACATAATAAAGTGCCAGCTTCACTGCAGACTGGAAGACTGCAATATCTAAAAATGTTCTGAAGCCACAGAGGAATAAAAGCCACTTCTGTGGACTTACCCTTGGCGGGGCAGGGTCCTCGCTGCCCGCTCTGCAGGTGGCCCAAGCCCCGCACCTCGTCTTTGCTGTACAGCACCTGGAGGAGGCCACCCTGGTGAGGCTGCAGCTTCTCTGTCCTGTGGGGCTGATGATCAGATATGGCCACGACCTGCAAAGAAGGAGAAAACCCAGCTCGTTACACCAGATTAGGTGGTCTGTCAAGGTCACAGGGGAGCAGCGCGGCACTTGCTCTTCCCACTGCTTTACTGTCACCCGATGGGGACTTTTGTTGGTGGGATGGGGATTGTGGGATTCTCGGGGTTTGTTTTGTTTGGATCCTGCCTCTGTGCGTGAGATGTGTAAAAGTATGAGAAAGTCTTGCAGGGTCGCTCTGCAATCCAGCTACTTCGTTGCACCTTTCTGTATTCTCCTCAGGAGACTGAAACACAATTCTTTTCAAGATCAGCTAAGTAAGATATGCCTTTGAGACAGCTCAAATTTAATTTCACACCGCGTCATATCTTGGGCAATCAGTTAAACTTATGCAATGTGAATTATAAATGCTATTTGCTCATGGCATTTCCTGTCTTTTGGACTTTTTTTTTGCTGGAAAGGGCTGGTGAGGCAACTAAAGCCTAATCCAAGACCTAAGAGGAGTTTTCTCTTAGTTCTGTGGATTTTGGCACACAGCTTAACACAGTCCCTACTCCGTAAGCTACTTAAGGACATACCCAGTGTTAAGTCAAAGGGACTACTGCTGCCCTTGAAGACAGACATGGGCTCAAGGAGGTTGCAGCTGGGCCCCAGCTCTACTGACCATGGATCTGGCACTGATGGAGAGAGCAGAGTCTCCTCGTTGCTCCGATAACTCAGGAATGAGGGTGATGCTGGTGGTGAGAGGCCTCCTGTTGCTGCTTAAGCAGTTAGCGTTGGCTCTCTCTCAGATGTCCCTGGATCCGTTCCAGGACCTTCCCATCCCTCTGCAGCACGTCCTTGGAGGCCGCAGGCTCCTGTGTCCATACACGCCCTGACCACCTGAACCTTGCAAGCTGCTCACCAGTGGCATTACCTCCCATTACCACAGGACATTGGTGGAGACACCTGCCTTCATTATGAAGGCGACGAGGCTGTGGCTGACAGGGGTCTCTCATGACAGCCCTTGGAGTCTGCCTCATGTGAGCCAAGTTCTTCTGGCTTTGAAGGAACACAACAAAGCTCACCCATCCCACCAGCTCTGGAAATATGCGCAGTGCTCTTGCTCACACTCAGCCTACTGTGGTGTGTGACAGAAAACATCTGCAGCCCTCTGCTGCTGAGACACCTGAAGTTGCTTCTTTGCATGGTCAGAAGAAAGGAGTATTTTTTGTAAGTAGGATGCTGGCTGAAGTTGTCTCTAATCCCAAAAGTGGCTTATTTGATCAATGTAAACCACCACTGACTTGAAACTTAAAAATCTGCCTAGGTATTGCAAAGGATGAAATATAGTTTGGGGAGAAGAAGCAGAGTTTTTAACTCGATTAATAGGAGTAATTATTTAGGTGTGTTGTCTGTGTTTTCAAGATTGCTTGTTCCGTGTCATATCAGTAATGTCAAAATGCACTCAAGCAGAAGAATCTGTATAAATAACTTGCAATGCCATTTTTGTAGTGTAGGGTCAATGGCTGGACTCGATGATCCCAAGGGTCTTTTCCAACCTGAATTGTTCTATGATTCTATGATTTCAATTACAGCTGGGGACAAGAGCTCAATCTACAGCACATCTTCAGTTAACATCTCTCTTTGAAGCAGTTGGCTGTAGTACACTTTTGGAGTTTCTTGTCTCCTAATTCAAGATTTCACTGTGACTTCGGCTACCTCACCCATTACTGTAATATGTGAAGACTTATCTAGGTCAGGAAACTAAACCTGCTGTAGTGCAGTTTTGATGTAAACTGGAGCTGACGTTTCTCCAGGGTACCCAGGGTAAGGCAGAAGAATCAGCTGGAAGTCACTTTTGTTTTCTAGATGTACCAAGAAATTTAAATCTGTGTGAGTTGGCAGAGTCAGACCAACTACGCAGAACTACTAAACTTCTCTCTTTTTTTAAACACCGTTTTTAGAACCTCTAAGTCCCTTGACTGGCTCAGTCTGTTAACAGTGTGCCGACTCTGAATTCAGAGCTCAGTAAAGTCTCTTTTTTGAGGACTTTACTGTTCACATGAGGGCACTGAGGCCAGGCATACCTGCTGTTGGAATTAGCTGTGTTAAGCAGGGGGCATGGAGGACACAGGAGGGTTGCGGAGCAGCACAGATGCTGTTCCAACAACTCTGATCCCCAACTCAAAATCCCACTGCCAAACAGATAGTCAAGCAGAAAAGGTGACAATTAAACCTTTCTCTTTGGATAAAGCTTTGAAGTTTAAAGGCCGAACAACAAAGTGCTAGTTAGTGAAAGAAATGCCAGATTTGTGGATTTCAGCTCTATTTGATGGTCTCATGCTAATCTAATTTTTAATGTGGCAGCACTAGCATGCACAGAGGGATTTGCCATTTTTCTGCAAAGTAGCCAGATACTGGTGTCTAGACAGTTCTACCCAAATGGTTTCAGCACTAGAAGAGCAAAGGAAGAGAAGGGAAGGATCTATTATCACTGGAAATAACTCTTAATAGGGCAATATGAACTGCAAATAAACATATTGGTGAAGCACTGAATATAAAAAAAAAAAGGTGTTTCCCCCTTTCTCTCATCCTTCCCGAGTCAAGGCCCTGTTTTTGGGGTGGGTTCTTGAATATGATGGAGGTTACCCCCCAAGGTAACATTTGAATGTTAAATCACTTAATGCTACACTGCTTGAGTATTTCTGCTGTGAAAAAAAGGTCTGGCAGATGTCCATGTTGCTTGCTATTTTTACCCTTGCTGAGGATTAAAGTTGTGCATCCACTGCAATCACCAGAGCAGAAGATTTCATGTCAGCTGAGCCATTTCCACAGCCCTGACTGCAGGTGCGGAGGTAAAAGTGAAAAATAAGCAATCATTCTGCTACTTCTGTGTGGGTCTAGAAATTGGCAATCACAACTTCCTCATAGACATGTGTGTTCCAGTACGTGCGACTTATTTGAATGCTCGCACATGAGCCGTGAGCAGCTGCGTCGCACAGAAGAAGGGGAACGTACAGGTCTAAGAGCCGACTGTGCCAATTGCTTTGGTTTGAGAGTCTTTCTGAGGTGTTTTTTGTTAGCTGGAGCTGCAGACCGCTCCTCAGGCTTGGTGCTCACACTAATGTGACACTGCCTGCGTCATGACTAAGGGCCAATCAAATGACATATTTAATTGGGGTCAGGAAAGCCTCAAAGGAAAAAAAAAATCCTCTAAAAACACAGTAACAAAACAGGGATTTTCTTATCTTATCTTCTTGGACTTTTATGAGTATAGTCTTGCTACAGCAGCTGATCCAACCCAAATGAAATATCAGCAGAAACAACAACTATCTATATGCTGAGATTCAGAACATGATAACAGACACAGAGTTGCCCTAGATTTTGATAAGAGTTAAATGAAAATTCTCCAGCTGAGTAATTTTCTGAGAAAATTCTGGTCAGAAATCTGGGTATTTTGTTGGAAAAGTGTCTATTTCACAAAAAAAAAGAAAAAAAAAAGAGAAATTATCTGAGCATTCTGTTTTATTAAGCCAGAATAGTTCACTTTTTGTTTGGACTTTTCTGCTATTTCTATATTACATGGAAAACAAAATATACCAAAGGCATAAGAAATAAAAGAGGGTTATCTCATAATGCCTTATTTTGAGTAACACTCCAGCAGTCTGACTTGCAACCTCATTTGGAATGAAGAATCACTTTGAAACCTCAGCCTGAGCTACAGGACAAAAATAAGAATTCTCACAAGTTGAGAAAATATGCACATGTATAGTTTCTGCCTACACATGACAAGGTGTGTTATTGACCCTTTCTGGGGACCACTTCAGGAATCCTGTTAACCCTGGGATCTGCTTTAATAATGAAAAGAGGGGAAGGGAGTCAAGGTGGCAAGTTTTTGTTTTTTTTTTCTTCCAATGCATGGGTAAGTGTGGTAAGCAGAGGGGACCTATGGTGCTGTGGGGAGATCAGGGAATCAGGGGTACAAAGAGGAGGCTATTTAGAAATGAGAATGGAAAAATCGGATAGGGCATCGAAAAAAGAAAGACCATAGAGCAAAATATTTCAACAGAGTACTAAAGACAGGTCCACAGTGAGATGAAGTGCTTTGGTAGAAAAGTCTTAAAGCTTGTAAAAAGTCCTTTGGCATGCACAGGAGAAAGTGGTCCTCAAGTCAGAAATGTGCTAAAAGGATCACGGAAGGGGTTGTGAATGGGCCAAGTGGATTTAAAGAGGGAAAACTGTCTCTGAAGTCAAGAAACCTCATGCTCGTGTGTCAGAGTATCCAAACTTGGAAGATGTTTTCTCAGAGCATGAAAAATATTCAGTTATTTGAATTTGGGGGGGTCTCTCACCTGCGGGGAGTGGATAAAGCTCCAGCTGTGCTCTCTGTGCCGGTGCCGGAGGTGAGCCAGCGACAGGCAAGCCCCACCGGGACCGAGGGCCAAGCATCCTGCTGTGGCTCTCAGAGCCATCTTTTTCTGCTGAGGTTACAGTCCATGGCTTGGTGTTTTTCTCTCAAATTCCCCAGGGAATGGGGTACTGGCTCCTTGATTAATGTTTATATACATTGATATGTTTTGCTTGCTTTTCATTCCTTCCTGTCCTTCTGGCACTATTATTAAGGCTTTATGGATAAGAATTAAGTCTGTGATTCCCTCAGATGACCCATGTTGACAAGCTGCTTTGTTCATTTTTACTGGCTTTGCACAACAAGACTGTGTTTTCTGAAGTTTCAAGGCACTTCTGTAAATAAACTGTAACTTTACAGAAACTCCCAACTTCTTGTATCAGACACTGATGCACTTCTTTGCCCTGAAAGATTTGCTTCCCATTTATACATGGCATTTTTAAGAATAAGTGTAGCAAACCAGCATTGAAAAAAAAAATAGTAGGAGAGAAAGGGAGATTTTTCTTACACTCTTTGTTAGGATGTGCTGTGTACATTTGGCTCGTCTTCGGGCAGGACTACATGCTGTGAAACGAAGAACAGAAACATGGTCAGGGTGCAGCAGAGATGGGCAAGATGAAGTTACACATGCCTCTGAAAGTCCTCTGTGAGAATATATTTGGGACATGGTGGAGAAGGGAACCAAGAAAAAAAGAATTTAAGGAGGATTCCAGCTGAAACAATGCAAAAGAAAGTCCTTTTCAATGTCATCTCAGAGATCATGTCCTAGATATATTATACAGACATCCATGGGCAAGGGGCAGCAGCCTTCCCCAAGCTCCTGCACCTTTCCCATAGGCTTCCAGGAGGAATCGTCTTCCTTGAGTTTCGATCTGGCCTCCCACCTGCCGCTGTGTCAGAAGGAAATGAGCTCTTTCCATCTACTCACCTTGAAGCATGACTAGTGCACACATTAACTTTGGAGAGGCCTGTCACTTTGTCTAAATAGGGACACTCTCAGTAAGCTCCAATTCCTATGTGACATCACTTCACTTTTACTGTGCGGTGCCCAAACCACAACATGCACTGAGCCTAGTCTTTTCTTTTTGACCCTCAACACGACCTGTTCAGTTCTTTAACTTGGGGCATTTTGCTTACAGTCTGTTTCTCAATTCTATTTCTTAGATGCACAAGATGCCAGGACCATAAGACAAGCTTTTCACTGAGCTAAAGCAGTTGGTTTTGGGTGAAGTTTTTTTTTAGGACAAAGTAAAAATTGTTTAAACATTTGTTGTTTGAGTTTGACTCAAAACTGGCCCGAAAGACACTATGATACTTCCAGCTCTCCCCCTCATCATGTCTCACCCTTTGCTCTTTAAAATTATTATCCTCTCCTGTGTTCAGGCTACAGAAGCTACAGGATTTAGCAGCCAAGGAGAGAAACAGTCCTGCTAAAAGCCTGCCAAATTTGGAGAATTAACTCCAGTTCTAAAGGCTGAGCCTAAGGGCAAGGCACATGAACTGGGGGTTCCTATTCAGGCTCCGTGTATAATCCAAAGGCTTTGAGGAGCCAGGAACATTTGTTACGGGATGATGGGTGACCCCCACTCTCCAGGTGAGATTTCCTTTACATTTTTGGCATGCGTTTGACTCCAGGATTTGAGGTGCTTATCACTGCTAAGTATTAATATTTGCAAAGAGTCTTGGAGCTGTGGAAGCAGCTGGAGGTCATCCAAGGCTGCTCATTACTGCAGCCAAACTCCTCTCTCTGACGGCAGGAATAACAAGTGACTGGGCTTTCCAGGGCTCCAGTACAAGCAGATTTGGCAGTGGAACTAAAATCACTCTTTCTAGGCAGCTTGCACTTGTCTAAAAGCCACTTCTCAATACCCCAATGAGGATATAAGAGCTGAATGTTAGGACCCTGCTGAATAAAAATAAGGTTTTGGCCTATGTTCTGCCCACAACGATACAGAATAGTATCACGGGAGGTGACCAGTCTTGTCCAGGGTCCCTGCCCCCGACCCACTGTGGTGCGGGGTACTTCCACACCGACCTCATCACAAGTAAGTTATCTGCCTGTTGGAGCTGGAGAGTGTGCGGAGCTGCCAGTTCTATTACAGTTGTTTTTCATGATGAGATATCCTCAGGGATCCTTACTGCCTTCTCCTACAGGACGCTTTTTATATTTTAAACTATGGTGAGTATGGGATGAAAACCAGACAAACATAGTGACGGTGTGGTTTTTTTTTGTTTTGTTCTGTTTTGTTTTTTTCCTAGGAATATGTTGTAACTTGTTTTTGAAGCTGCTATAATCACTTTTACTTCTGGAATTTCATTGTGTGGGGACTAAACTAATTGCTCACAAGCAAGATACTCATGTGAAGAGAAATTTAGTGATGCAAGGAACTATCTTCTTGACTCGCTGGTATTTTATGTATTTTACTGGACAATGCAAGGAGCACAGCTTATAGAGATTTCTACCAGGAGCAAGTACTGTTGTGCTGTTACTGGTATCCAGGCTGGTGCACAAGAAACAATACAGAGATGTGCCTAACAGTAATAAATTTGCATATTTTCAGAGTACATATGAGCCACAGTCCAACTCCCTGTCATCTGCCAGAGTGAGTGGCAAATGGCTTACAGGGACTGAAGAAAGGCAAGGCATGAAAGGGAAGTCACAGCACCAGCAAACATGCGATTACTTGAATAGCCATTGAAAGAAGAGTGAATCCCGGAGGTAGCCAGAAGTGACCCACTTGTGCAGGAGTACAATGGCAGCAATGCAAACAGTGGGGCTGCAGGGCTCTCCCTGCAAACACAATTTTCGGCAGGCAGCGGGAGCAGGAAGCGAAGAACGAATCCGTGCAGATGATGTTTCTGGATTTGCCTGCAAAAGGACGCTTGTATGCACAGCCCAGCTTTCAGGCAACAAAACCAATTACAATGATGGCTTAATTTGTCATTTCCACTTATATTCTGAAATTAAGCAGCTGAGAGCTCATGCTCGCAGCTTGCAAGTAAAGATCTGATCTGGCCCCACAATTTGTTTTCCCTGCTTTTACCTGCTTTCTTGTTGCTGAAATATGCAGCCATTGAGTTTAAACTAATTTGTTCAATCAAATGCAGACTGGGCTTTGTCCGGTTCTTACTCTTCATTACAAGCAATTAATGTTAATCATGCATTCATTTCCAGGGCATGGCTTTGGAAATGTTCCACTTATTGAGACAGCAGACTTAAATTCAACATTCACGCAGCCCGCCCAGTTCATCTGAGCTGCTAACTGCTCGCAGAACTTCATTTTCTTTTCTATCGCACAGAATAGCCACACAGTTGCAAGCTGTCACTTTAGCAATTACCTCATAGGTACATCAACACCGATCCCAGATCTCCCAGTTTTGCCGGTGCGAAGATTTTACACAGCCACAGTGCTGGAGCACCTGCACGGATTAGCTCCAGCAGCAAGCAGCGAGCGCTGGACCGCAAGCAGAGCCCGGCGCGGAGAAGCAGGCGAGCTGCTCACTCCAGAGATTTCCCCGATGCTAAACACCCCATCCCTTTAAAAGACAACACCAGAGGCTGTTACAGTTTCAATGTACTCACATTTGGATGAAATCACGGTGGTGAAAACTTCTAAATTCTCGTCGCTGCAGCTGTAAATCTGATGCATTTTCCGCTTCTCCCTACTGACTGCCTTTCAGCTTCATGCAACCGCCCTGAACTTCTGGTAAATAGGTTTCACTAATCCAATCTGGCTCTGTGATCATTGTCCAGATCTACAAAGGACAGACTGATGCTGTGATCTCATCTCATTCCATATTCTTCGTTGCAACATTTTCTGCTCCCATCTGCCTTTCTATGAATACTATTAATGCAAAGACTTAATTTAGCTGTTACTTAAGCTTCTACTCAGATAAGAGCATTTTATTTTACGTCTCCTTTTACCAGTTTGGAGAAGCCTCTGCAATAAATGGCTAATAATTAGAGTCTGCTCTGTGCAGTCAATGAAAAGGCAACTAAATGCTTACAGAAATATTACGAGAATTTTTAAAATAAGTTGGGTTAATGATTTGTGTACTTTAACACATTTATTGTAAAACTTAGCTCCTCCCATATAATGAGGAGCTGATTCTAAGTATATTAAGAAAACTATTTTGTGCTTTACCTTCTAAGTTCATAAACTAGTACCTGAATCCTGGGCACTTCAGTGTAAAATTTCGAATGCAGATGATTTAAGAAGGGCACATCAGGCAAATGTATGTAGGTCTATATGGCCCCTACATTTTAGAGGCTGCAGAGGGAGGGCAGGTGGCTCAGTCATAGATGGGTTCCTACTTGACAGTTCTGGGGCCTAATTCCATATTTATGCATTTCAGTAAGGGGTCTTCTTGTCAAAGCTTTTCATTCCTTAATGCTCCTATCAGAAATTGTTCTTTTCCACATCTATGAAAACCAACCCCCTCAACTTCTGGTGACTTACTGCTGGAATGGACACCTAAGACAGAAAATTTTGGCTTGCAGACTTCAGCAACTGATGCAGCAGAAACACTTTCAAGTGTGAATAATGATATTAAATTATATCAGTGTAATGAATAGCCTTCATTACTAGCACGTGTGTTTAATTAACACAAAATGTAGTGCTGTCTTCTCCTATAGACATCTGCCACCAACAGTCCCAGATGGAAACTGCCAGCAAACGTGAGATGTCACCGTCATGTTCATATAGCGCTTCTTATTTCAAACAATAAATATTGGGCAAATATACATCCTGAGCCTGGAAGAAGTTTAGCTGAGCCAAAGGTCTCACTGTTCCAGGAAAAAAATGACTGAAGAGAATCTGGTATCTCTTGTTACCTCCCAGGGCAGCCTCCTGCTGTCCAAGGGCACTGGACCCACTGCGGGGCTGGGGGCATTGTCCCAGGAAAGCACGCAGTGTTTGAAACAGGATGGTGGGATGGCAATATAATCGAGCAAAAGTTCAATTAGTATTTGATTTATTGCGCCACATGTTCTGCTTGTATGACTGATGTCATTAACATCAGGCTCGGCTGGCGTGTTCATCTGTCCCTGCCCAGCTCCCTCTGAAGGCGCACACACTCAACAGATGGGGAGCTGCACAGGCGCGAATGCAATTGTTTATTCCCCTATTGTTCCTGTGTCAAGCAATCAAACCAAATCCATTACCCACCGAGAAAAAGATCAGCACACCGTCCGTTCAACAGTGAATGGGGCAGAGGCGGTTACACAGGGAGGCTTTAAAGCTTTCAAAAGGATAAAAAAAATATTAATGAAGAGCAACACTGAATAGTTGACTAAAAAATAAAAAGCTATAACAAATCTAATCCGCTCTTTATTTCGCCTTTGGATAATCAGAGTTCTATAAGAAGAGGCATTTTTGGATCTGAGTTGTTTTCTTAACTTTAAGTATGACTTAAAGATATTTTTAAATCGTAGCTGGGGTTTAACACTAGACCAAATACTGTGTGTTTCATCATGTTGAGGGATAGTGGGGGTGGGACTCAAGAGCAGGTTACCAGTGGGCAGTCCCTGCATTATAGGTCAGGTCTGGAGCAGGTAGGCTTTGAAGACCTTTCTTTACAAGGGATGTGATGCTCTGGGGATGAGTCACTCTGTGCACAGAGCTGACAAAAGGCTCTCACATCACTTCCAGATAGAAAAATAGGTCAGGAGGCCAAATACAATATGTCTCAGCTGGGATCCTCATCTGGGGATGAATTTTCTCCTCCTCATGAAAAGGAGTTTGCTGCTTCATTCTGCCCAGATCTCACATGGCAGTCGAGTGCTGTGAATGCCTGGGGTTTTGCAGGAAATCTTTGGCTTCAGAAGAAGGACTACATATACAGAGCTACTTTTTTTCTAGCTGTCTGTGAGTAATTTTGGACAAATGTCTTGGTTTATCTAGCTACAAAATAAGTGTGATAACACCTGCCAGTGAAGTGTACTACAAAGCTCACCTGCATGCAACCTGCTGAAAAATAGCAGGTAGTAATTTTAGAATTGGAGGAAGATCGTCTCCATAATGTCCAACCTAGGAACTGCTTGCAGAGACGCATCAGATAATTTCACGTGGTATCTCCTCACTGACCTAGCAAGAGTCCAGTCTGTAATGGTAACAGGAAATCGGTCATTGATTCTATGAATCTTTCTTTGTTCCCCAAATTACATAAAATATCTAGAAACTAGGATTAATTTTTTTCCTCACTGCTAAATACAACTAATAAACTATTAATCTAATTCACATGGTGCCACTGCAGCCATGAGAAGACATGAAAAAGTTTTTGCACTAGAGTATACCTTGGACTGAAGACTCCCAAACCAACGTGGAATCCAAATTCCTCACTGTGGGCTGTGATATAACTGCTTACCAAATACCTGAACTCCCAGTAATGTCAGTAAAGGATCAAAACATTTGCTGGTGAAATTAGAGACCAAAGGTGGATGGGAACAACTGAGGAGGAGGAGGAGAACTCAGGACACAAGAGCAGACAGATGGTGCCTGACAAAACATCCATCTAACCTGATCTGCAGGTCTGGGACAGGAAAGGTATTTGCGTTTTGGGAATGTGGGCAGAAAGGAGGAAAATTAAGAGAAGGGGAAGAGAAGTACACCAAGGCTGAGGGAAAAACAACTGATGAAAACAGCCGAAGGCTCAGCGGCCCTCGTCAGCATGGCAGAAAATCCCATAAACTAGTGAAACGTCCCTCTGGGTAAGGGTGCTTTTCCCATGGTCTGGATCTGTGTGACCACATTTGGAAGAAACAAGTGTAGACTCTTGGGCTGTTTACCAAGTATGATGGAGCTGGTAAACTTCAAAGGAATCAATAATAAAATGAAAAAAAAAGATATTTACAAGAACTATAAATCATTGAATGATTTAGTATAAGTATCAGACAACCCTAGAGCTTATTTATCCCGGCCCTTATAAATGAAGAGACACCTTTCCAGTGCAGTGTTCTTCCAGTGAAGTCGGTAGGAAGCCTCCTGGTACTTTCAGCACATGCAAGGGGTATTGTCAAGGGATTCCCTGGCCCGTAGAGGACAGAGCCCTACCCAAATCAGGTCTCTGGCTTCTCTCTGGATCTTGTACCCTGTTGCATAAGAGGAGAATCTAATCCGTACTGAGCTACTTGAGCGTATTTCTTACCGTTAGCTGGGCAATATGATAAGGATAAACCCCAGGTATTTTTGGAATAGGATTGCAAAACAGAGGTATGCACATTTAACCATTTAAAAATAAGATGGGATAAAACTTCACAGGCATGCTGTGGACATTTACTGTAAAATGCTTCTGCGTGATTCAATGCAAATGGCACTTTTTGTGGAAGGGAAATTGCTTTGTTTCATTTTAGAGCCGCAGAACTGCAACTGCCAATGACTGGAAAGGAAAACCAACAAAAAAAGTAAAATATAAAGTGTGCTTCTCATAGATAATCTGTTATTTTTCTCTAAATGAAAGGAAGAGAGAGTGACAAATATGCTATCAACAACTTCACCTTTTACTTATAGCAGTCTGCAAAACTAGTTCAAGCCTCACTGCAAGCAGCTGTAACAGATTTTACACAAACAGGAATAAGATCAAATTTAAAAAATGTTCTGAACTTTGTATTCACTGTACGGGGCCAGGAGAGAGGGTTGCAAGAGTTGGGCAGTTTGAAAGAGCTAGTGCACAAACTTCCCTGCTCATCAGGAAAGGAAATACCAGCCAGACCTGGGAGCCAGGCTGAAAGCATCCCCTCACTAGTTACAGAAAAACGCTCCAGGATCCTGAGAAAAAAAACAAACCTCCAACCCACAAGCATGGTTGGCTCCTCTTAAAAAAAGTTACATATAGATAATTGGACATTCACAAATTTGCCCTAAGCTTGTAAAACACACTTGAGTAAGTCCATACAATGATTAGAGAGAAACACAATGCCCAGCACCACAAGGTTCAAGTCCCGCAGAGCTTGTGCCAACAGCAGGGATTGCACTGAGCCAGCATTAAAGCCAGAGCCAGGCTGAGCACGTGGAGGCTTAACAAGCTTTCATACACTGGTCATGTACTGGTAATCCACAGAAAGCATAAAAAATGTCAACAAAAGAGCAATATGTCCAAACTGGGCTGTGACAACAAATACTTTATTAAGTTGCTGAACTTCAATTATGTTTGTCCTTGATTTATTGATTTTTCAAGGTAATTGATCAGCGAGGTCTTTATTCCCCTGAGAAAGAACAGTAATTTTTTTTGGATAAGGCTTTTTTTCCTCCTGATTTATTCCTTTAAAACATCTTTAACATTATTTTGACTATTGGGTCCTGATATGAACATAACCATTATTTTGACAAATAAGCACATTAATTAAAGATTGTCCTGTGGTCCCTGGGTTGGTGTAGTGACAGCTCTCTTGCTACAAGTGCATACTATGTCTCACACCATATGGAGGAAAATCCATCACTTGGGTAACCAGGCACCAACTACTTAGGATTTCTCCTATGGATAAGGCTAAAGAATGAGGCAGCCTGAACTGTCACCTTACTTATCTCTTGTGTGTCCTCACACAGCCACCAGTCTCCTTTTGCCACGTGCCACACACATGCTCTGCAGGATGAAGTCTTCTGGAGGCTATCAGATGGCATTGCCCCCTCCGGCTTAAGTTCCGTGTGAAAAT